CATTCAGATGGCGCCGTATGAGGCTTTATATGGTAGGAGGTATAGATCCCCGGTGGGTTGGTTTGAGCCGGGTGAGGCCAGGCTATTGGGCACAGAGTTGGTTCAGGATGCATTGGAGAAGGTTAAGACGATTCAGGATAGACTCCGTACAGCCCAGTCCAGACAGAAGAGTTACGCGGACAGGAAGATTCGTGATGTTTCATATATGGTTGGTGAGCGGGTTCTGCTTCGGGTTTCGCCTATGAAAGGCGTCATGAGATTTGGGAAGAAAGAAAAGTTGAGTCCGAGGTTTATTGGCCCTTTTGAGATCTTGTGGCGAGTTGGGGAGGTTGCCTATGAGCTCGCCTTGCCTCCCAGTTAGGCCGGAGTTCATCCGGTATTTCATGTTTTAATGCTCCGAACGTATCACGGTGATCCGTCTCACGTGTTGGATTTCAGTTCAGTCCAGTTAGACAAGGATCTATCCTATGTTGAGGAGCCAGTGGCTATATTGGACTGACAGATTAGAAAGTTGAGGTCAAAGAACATTGCTTTAGTGAAGGTTCAGTGGCGGGGTCAGCCAGCCGAGGAGGCGACCTGGGAGACCGAGCGGGATATGCGCAGCCAGTACCCTCATCTTTTCACTACTTCAGGTATGTTCTCTATGCTCGTTCGAGGACGAACGAATGTTTAAGTGTAGGAGGATGTAACGACCCGGCCGGTTGTTTTTGGAATTTATGCCCCGATCCCCCATTAACTGCTTCCCCTAAGTTCATTTCTGCTATGTTGGTTTGCCGGGACGTTCGGTGTTAAGATTCAGAGTGTTTTGGGACACTTAGTCCCTAAATGAGAGCTTAAGTGTGGAAAAGTGGTCCGTAGTCGGAACAGTGTGAAGACGACCTCAGAATGGAAATTCGATAGTCCAGTTAGCTCCGTTAGGTTATTTCGGGGTTGGGAGCGTGTTCGGAATGTATTTTGGAAGTCCGTAGCTCATTTAGGCTTGAAATGCCGAAGTTTGAATTTTTGAAGTTTCCGGTCCGATAGTGAGTTTTTGATTCGAGGATCGGATTGGAATTCCGGAAGTTGCAATAGCTCCGTCATGTCAATTGGGATGTGTGTGCAAAATTTCAGGTCATTTGGACCTTTTTTGGTTAGGTTTTTGATCGAAAGCGTATTTTGATAAAAGTTGAAGTTCTTAGGCTCAAATCCTTGTTTAATTCGAGTTTCTGGCGTTGTACTAGGTGGTTTAAGGATTGGTACAAGTTTGAATGATGATATGGGATATGTCCGTAGGTTTGGTTGAGGTCCCGGGGGCCTCGGGTGTGTTTCGGATGCTTAACGGAGCATTTTAGAGTTTGAAAATGTTGTGGAAAATCCTTCAGCTGTGCAAGTCCCAAATCCTTCTTCGCGTTCGCGTCCTCCTCAACGCGTTCGCGTAGAGTAATTCTGGAGGAGGACAAGTTTTCTTCATTGCGTTCGCGAAGCTTCACATATTCCTTAATCGCGTTCGCGTCAAGACTGTCGCGTTCGCATAGCCTTATTGGACTCTGAGGGCTGGGCTTGATTTTATTCAACGCGTTCGCATAACCCCACTCGCGTTCGCATAGTTCACTGAACCCAGGCCTTCACGTTCGCGCCCCTTCCTTCGCGATCGCGAAGGGCATTTTTGGTCCCTTTATTTTTCATTCTTCGCGAACACGAGCTCCCTTCTGCGTTCGCGATGCTTTACGGACCTGAACAGTACTTAACATTCAAAAATGAGGGTTTTGCCATTTTTATCAAAATACAAGTTTGAGAGCTCGGATTTGGGGGAAATTTCGAAGGTTTTCCGAAGGCAATCACTGGGTAACGATTCTCTACTCTCTTATGCTTAAAACCCACTAATCTAATCACGAATTCATCCTTAATTTCGGATTTTCGAATGAAGATTGGGGAAAACATCTTAGACCTAACTTTTGGATTTTGAGTGGGCATTTGACCTTCGATTTGGGAGATTTTTATATGGTTAGACTTGTGAGAGTACGAGGGTTCTGAAAATGTGAAAATTATTCGATTCCGAGATGTTGGCCTGAGGGGCGTTTTGGTCATTTTACCTATTTTTGCGCCTTAGCTTTAAATTCAATAGTGGAATCAGTTGTTTGCAATATTACTTACGATATGTAATTGAATTGAATAGATTTGGGCCATTTGGAGTCGGATACTCGTGGCAAAAGTGTGATTTCGAGTTGATTTTGGTGCCGATTCGAGGTAAGTGGCTTGTCTAACCTTGTGTGGGGGACTTTTCCCCTTAGGATTGTTACTTGATATTTGAGTGCCTTGTACGTGAGGTGACGGGCGCGTACTTGAGCCGATTGATGGAAAAATCCGGTTTTACTTAAGTTATTGAGATTTGGTTTCTTTCTTACTTGCCTTATTCTACTTGAAATTATAACTTGTGCTAGATTAGGAAAACATGTTTAGTTGACTTGATAGCCTAATTACTTGAGTTGTTTTCGCTGTTCTACGTGAAACATACTAGGCTAGTTCTATCTGTGTTGTATTTCGTACTTCATTCCTTGGTATATTTTTGGCTGTGGTTGCGCATTTACATTGGGACTACGGATGTGGGATTCCGGTAGCTCCCCTCCTGTTTGTTTACTTTGGGACTACGGGTTCGATTCCCGGTAGATCCCCCTGCACTTTTACTTTGGGACTGCGGGTTAGATTTCCGATAGATCCCCCCTGCATATTGATGGTTGGACTACGGGACGGTATCCCGGGAGATCCTTCGGTTTGGCATATGTGTTGGACTACGGGACGGTATCCCGGGAGATCCACTGGACAGTTGAGGAAGGGCTACAGGACGGTATCCTGGGAGACCCTCATTGTTATTCTTGGTATTGAGCTGTAGTCATTCTGTGTCCATTTTGTTCTTGTGTAGTTGTTATTATTTCGTTAGCCTGTCTTATCTCACTGCCGTACTCATTATTTTTGTCAGATTTTCATACTGTTAATTAATATTATATTTTACCTCAGTAGGGCCCTGACCTTCCTCGTCACTACCCAACCGAGGTTAGGCTTGGCACTTACTGAGTACCACTGTGGTGTACTCATGCCCTTCCTGCGCATATTTTTTATGTGTAGATCCAGGTACCTCTTCTCAGGCACACTATCCTTGAGGCGAGGAGATACACGGAGACTTCGAGGTATATCTGCAGCGTCCGCAGACCGAAGAGTCTTCTTCCTTATTCTAGTTGTAGAGCTGTTATCCTATCATACTTTTGATGTAGATATTCTGGATATTAGAGTACTTATGGTAATTCTATTAGCCTGTGTTTCCCGTGAGTTTCCGGGTTTTGGGATTGAGTTGTAGACTTCTGCATATCTTTAGAGTTGTATTGGCCGGGCGGCCTTATATTCAGTTGTTATTTTTCATATGTTCAATTTTAATTGATTATTCCTCAAGTTAGAAGGTTATTTCCGCACTGTTAGGCTTACCTAGTTATAGGAACTAGGTGCCATCACGACATGTTCATGGAGGGTGAACGGGGATCGTGACAAATTTCCTCAACAAAAGAGTATCCTGAAGCAAATGACTAATTAAGACATATTGCATCCAAGCACATCCATAACAATTTCGGTCATTTTTGTCCATAGCAAACAAATGACATACTATTTCCAAAACCTTTTTTCCTTTCGTCCATCCAACAAAATTTTCTTTTGAAACTAACTGACTCTATTCTGATTTTTGGAGATTCAAAGACGAACGCAGAAAAAGAAATTAAATTCCTTAAGATTGTTGGTATTATACTGTGTTCAAAATCAGAAAATTAGAGAAATAAACAAACGTTAGTTCAATAAACAAAACGTAAAATAATTTCGAGCCCACTGAATTCACAATGTGTCCTTAAGGAATTTAATCCCCTCACTGTTTCCCAAAGTATACGGATTAATTCCTCCCAGGATAGAACGGAATAACTATTCTGTGATAGCGGCACTTCAAATCACAGAACTTCAGCGAACTCAACAAACGGAGCAAACCACACTTGACACTTATGTTTATTTAGAAAATAATACAACAATGTAGAAAAGAGGGGAGAATATTTTAGATTTTCCTTGTCTGATTTCACGTCTAAAAAATGAAGCCAAGCCTCTAAATTTATAGACAAAGGAAGGGTGATATGGAGAGGTGCAATCTAAAAGGTGCCTCTTCCATTTTCCATTCACACCCCTTAATAAAAACGCAACACATAGATTATACATTAATTATACGCAATTATACACATATAATACATAATTATTTTATATTATACTTTTACGACTATTTTTAGTTTAAGTGGTTGGATGAGCGATTATTACGGTTAGTTCTTCTTCTTAAATAGGCAAATTCATTAACCATTTTCATTCGATTTCGAGCTTTGATCAATTAAACTTTTTGATACCAAATTCGAGGGGAAAAAATGCAAAGAGTATTTTGTAACATAACTCATTCTTTATTGAGAAGAAATATTATTTGTTAAAGAAAAGAATATATTTAATTCTTCGAATTTTCTTAAGGTAATGAAAATAGCACGTGGAATGTGATCCTTCACTAAAATGATGCATAAATATCTCACTTGATTGATTGTTCACTAACCATATAAATGTAAGGTAATTGATGCTTTCTTTTTTTATAAGTGAAATTACCCAAACAAGAGTAATCTTAAACTCGAATCACTACAAGAAATTGGATTATTAGTGGCAACATATAGCAGCGACCTTGTAAGTTGCTACAACAGCTATATTATTAGCAGCGACATCTAAAGTCGTTGCAAAAGGATAATTTTAAGCAGGGACTTATCTTGGGTCGCATCTGATATGGCTGAAATTTTCAGCCCCTTTTGGCTCCATAATATTGTGGCGACTGTGGCGAAGTCGCCGCTAAAAGTATCTGGCAGCGACTGGGTCGCTAGTCGCTCCTATAACCTACATTTTCATTTTTAAAATAATAAGGAAAATAAAAATTAAATAAGCTAACTAAAACTTGTCTCTGGAACAGAACCCACAAAGCTGCGAGTGAAACAACATAGGAGCAGAACTCTCTCGAGAATATCGGCGCTCTCTCTCTCTACAAATTAAATTAGGTTTTCATCTAAAATTTCATCAAAATCAAAACCGCTCAAATCAAAATGTGAATCTCATTTGTCAGGTATGTTCAAATCCCTAATCTTTTCATTTTCTTTGGGAAAGAAATTGATAATCGATCGATTTCGTGCTGTGGAGGAAGAATCAAAGAAACGATTTCTGTTTAACAGAATCAAAGAAACGATAACTAGCCCTACATTTAACAGATGGAGTTTTGAAGTCTCAATTTTATGGACTTGAAGTTGTAGTTTAACAACATCGAGTGAACACCTTGTATGTTTGTTTAACAGCGTTCACTAGAAATCAAAAATTATGTAGTAGTAGGTAATCGGTTAACTTGTAAGAAATGCTATCCATTGATATACAAATATAACTAGTAAATGATTTCTGACATTATGGAAAGAATGGAGCATTTCCAATACTTACTCATACACTGATTAACAGTATATGCATAATCGGAATAACACAGTTCAAAAACAGAATGAACCAAAAAAAAAGTAAAACTATAATGATGGACAATGTCCAGAACCATAAAGATTTATATAAGAAATATTTACATTTGGGTATTTTTGTATAATGATTCTGTAAGACAATAGTTTCAACATGCAGTCAGGGATAATTATTTTTTCAGCAATTTCACTTTTGTATTCTCAGAATTCATCTCGAATTTTTCTGAGCCATTTGATAATCTACAGGAATACCAAAAGAATCACACAGAAAGAATCATTTGAAGCGTATTTGGTGTTGTTATGGTTGATTCTCGGTCTTGATAGAATCTCACCTATCTCTTTTCCTCGGTAAGTTAAAATCATTTTCTTGAGAGACGTTTTACATGTCGGCATTCAATTCAGTTTGAATTATTATATGAGCTTTTTATGTTCTTTCAGTTATGTCCTCGTACCAGTTAGATCTCGACTTTGATATCGCAATAATGTGATTTTCTCTTCCTAGGATTTGAAAGGGAGTTGTTTTCAGGCCTTGCCATAGTTCTGTTATTATTGCGTTTGATATGAAGTTTGAAAAGAATTGCAAAGGAGCAGTTTATTAAATATCTTTCTTGAATACTTAAAGCTTCTTATTTCGTAGTATCTGTTATATTTCATAGTATTTGTTATATATAGTCTCATTTTCATCAACAATATGTAGTCTCATGCTCACAGAAGGTATAGTCTCATGCTCACAGAAGCATTACAAGTTAAAACGATTGAATTGAACTAAAAGTAAGATTCATGACACTTTGAGTCTAGTTGGGTAAGATATGTTACATCTGTTTATCATTAAGGTTTATATTATGTGGTAGGTATAAATTCTTTTTATGAAACTATTTGTTTTCCTTGTTAATTAAAAGGTGTGTGAGAAGAAAAAATTGCAACAATAATTCTATTTTATTATAAGTGATTTGGTTTGTTCATCTTTCTTTGGTATGTTAGATATTATAGATATTTTGATTATTATCATCCTTCCACTCTTAATTAGGTAATCATTTATTTATTGTTGAAAATAGATATGATGGATAAAAGTTGGTTGAATATAAGGAATAGAGTCGACCAAAGGTATAGAGATGGAGTAGACAACTTTCTTAATTGGGCATTCAGTCAACCAACTGTGAACACTATGATTCGGTGTCCTTGTAAAGGGTATATGAATATCGCGTTCAAGCTAAGGGTTGGTGTAAGAGGAGATTTATTGAGGAAGGATTTCTGGGATTCTTATAAAGTGTGGGACTTGCATGGAGAAGTGTTAGTTAGAGTTGACACTTCTAATACTACAGTTAGTGATGAAGCAGAAGATGATAGCATTGAAGAGGATAATATTACTGAAATGATTCACGATGCTTGTGGATATACGAATATGGAGTATAATTATAGTAATAATTCAGTGGACAATGAAGAGCCAAATGTACATGCAACAAAGTTCTACAAATTGTTAGAAGATGCTGAGACAGAACTTTATCCTGGTTGTAAGATATTCTCGAAGTTGTCTTTTGTTGTTAAAATCCTTTGATGCACAACATTCTACCTTTTCAGCTGAGTTAAGAAATGTTCGATTAGGTTTGGCGAGTGACGGATTCCAACCTTATGGGGACATGAGTTCTAATCATAGTATTAGGCGAGTCGTACTAGCTACGTATAACTTGCCACCGTGGGATTGCATGAAAAATCAATATTTCATGATGACACTTCTTATTCCAGGCCCCAAGTATCCATGAAATGATATCGATGTATATTTATAACCATTGGTTGAAGAGTTGAAAGAATTATGAGACGGGGTGGAGGCTTATGATGCGCACTCAAAATCTAATTTTCTGATGCGTGTGGCTATCATGTGGACGATCAATGACTTTCCTGCATATGGAATCTTTCATGATGGTCAGCCAAAGGCAAACTTGCATGCCCTTGTTACCATAAAGATACACAATCGATCTCCTTGCGTAGTAAGTTGTATTATATGGGTCATCGTCTCTTCCTTCCCATAGACCATCCATGGCGGAGAAGTAGGACGTTATTTGATGGGATACATGAAATGAGAGTTGCACCTAACCCTTTAACCGGTGATGAAGTACTTGTGCAATTATAAGCTTTGGGTAATGTGATTTTTGGTAAAGGACAAAAGAGAAAGCGTGATGTTCGTAAAAATGCTTACAATTGGAAGAAGAAAAGTATCTTTTTCCAATTGCCTTATTGGAAGAGTCTTATGTTACGACATAACCTTAATGTGAAGCACATCGAAATAAATGTGTCCGACAATATTATATCAACTGTCATGAATATGGTTGGAAAGACAAAAGACACATTAAAAAGTAGATATGACTTGATGGACCTTGGAATCATACAAAGGTTGCATCCAATAGAAGATGGGAACAATATTTTGTTACCGGCAGCGTGCTATGCATTGTTCCCGAAAGAGAAGCTGAAGGTATGCAGTTTCTTCGCTAATCTGAAGGTTCCTAATGCCTTTTCCTCAAACATTTCAAGGTGTGTTCCTTTACTCTTTTTGAATGAATTACAGTCAGTAAAGTAATCTGGTGGAAGGGGTCCATAGAATAAAAATTGGCTTCTTTTTCTTTTTTCTATTTTTTGAATAGAGAAAGAGTCGAAACTAAGGGTACGCTCTCTAGAATATTTGTTCGGAGCTTTTTTATCACTTGGTCGCCTGGTATCTTGAAACCTCTTTGCTTGCGGGGGCAGGGGTGGAAAGAGCGCTTCGCGAAAGAATCGTGTGGCGCGGTGAAAGGTTTCCCTTGTGTCAATGTACAAGAAAAGAAGATACATGGATTGAAATGTCATGATCATCATGTATTGTTGCAAGACATTATTCCAGTAGCTATACGTAGTTTGCTACCCAAGGAAGTGTGTGATCCAATTATAGACTTAGGAAAAATTTTCAAGAATATATACTCTAAGTGCTTGACGATTGAAGATCTTGATATCCTAGAGGCAGAAATTCCTATTATTTTGAGCAAACTTCAACTTGTTTTCCCTATGACATTCTTTGATGTCATGGTTCATTTGCCAATTCGCTTTCCAAGAGAGGCAAAGCTTGGTGGACCAGCTCAATAACGGAATATGTATCCTATAAAGAGGTAATTTATTGTTTAATAATTTCGATGCTATAGTTTTAGAATGACATATATTATATTAATGGGTTATTTTATATAGGTATTTTCGAACACTTAAGTCATATGTTCGCAACAAAAATAGTCCAGAAGGTTCAATTGCAGAAGGTTATTTGGCAAAGGAAAGCCTCACATTTTGCTCACGATACTTGAAGAATATCTCAACCAAGTTTAATAAACCAACTAGGAATGACGATGAATCTGTGTCAAATGATGTGATGTCTATCTTTAAAAAAAGTGGTCAAACAAAAGGTGCTTCAGAAGGCATCCGGCTATCTCATAATGAGTTTAGACAAGCATGTATGTATGTGCTTCAAAATTGTGAAGATGTTTCACATTTCATGGAGTAAGTCTCTTATTAACTCAAAGATAGTTTCACATTGATATAATTCAAACCCGACTTATCTTAACTAACTTAAAATGTAGGGAATACACAAGAGAGATTGAAAGCCAAAGTTCAATGAGAGCTCATAAGAATGAGTTTCTTGATTGGTTTCGCGCACATGTAGGTGTCTACTTAATTGCTAATATTGATATTAGTTTAATCATCCCATCATGTTATTGGTCATAATAGTGTTGTTCGTCTTTGTAGATATTTGTACTATCTTCACAAGGACGCGCAAATGATGAGCTCATAAGCTTAGCCGTCAGTCCTGCACCATTAGTACATCGATATTCAACATTTGTGGTGAATTAATTTAGATTCCATACAAAGCATTGAGAATAAAAACGCAGAATAGTAGTGTTCTTGTGAGAGGAGATGATTCAGACTCTAATAAGGAGTATTATGGTGTATTAGAGGACATTTATGAGTTATCTTATATGGGAAACAGAAAAGTTTACTTATTCAAGTGTAATTGGTGGGATGTGGCTCGCTTAGGAAGAGGATATATGATAGACAACTATGGCTTCACAAGTGTGAATACTCGGTGTGCCTTGAATACAAATGAGCCATTTGTGTTGGCATCTCAGTCGGAACAAGTCTTTTACTTGGACGACATTGTGAGCATGTGATTTTTGCCCTATACGAAATACTCCTATAAAATCCCAAGAAAATAGATTTTTTGTTAATTATTTGCCATTTTAGGAATTTTTGTAGGATTTTTATTAATTGTTTACATTTTTGTGCACGTTTAATTTTTATTTAAATCATGAAAAATATCAAAAAATACCATGCATTGAATTTAGGTTATGTTTTTACATCTTTATCAGACACGGACTCCCAGGTCAATGCCTCAGGAGGCTGACCTCTCCACTGGACACGCACTGAAGGAAAACTCTTCGACCTCAACCGTCGAACCTGCCGGTCTAGAATAGCTACCGGCTCCTCCTCGTAAGACAGATCCTTCTCCAACTGGACAGTACTGAAATCTAACACGTGGGCTGGATCGCCGTGATACCTCCGAAGCATGGACACATAAAACACTGGATGCACGGCTGACAAGCTGGGCGGCAAGGCAAGTCTGTAAGCCACCTCTCCCACACGATCGAGAATCTCAAATGGGCCAATGAACCTAGGGCTAAGCTTGCCCTTCTTTCCAAATCTCATCACGCTCTTCATAGGCGACACTCGGAGCAAGACCCGCTCACCAACTATAAAAGCTACATCTCGAACCTTNTATGGCTTCACAAGTGTGAATACTCGGTGTGCCTTGAATACAAATGAGCCATTTGTGTTGGCATCTCAGTCGGAACAAGTCTTTTACTTGGACGACATTGTGAGCATGTGATTTTTGCCCTATACGAATACTCCTATAAAATCCCAAGAAAATAGATTTTTTGTTAATTATTTGCCATTTTAGGAATTTTTGTAGGATTTTTATTAATTGTTTACATTTTTGTGCACGTTTAATTTTTATTTAAATCATGAAAAATATCAAAAAATACCATGCATTGAATTTAGGTTATGTTTTTACATCTTTAGGATTAATCAGTAATTATTTATTTTATAAAAATTGAAAATCACAAAAATAGCTCATTTTTATATTTTTGCCTTTTAATTTTTAGGTTATTGATTTTTCTCTTGTAATTTAGAATTAAGTAACTTGTATAATTTTTGTAATTAGGTAATTGGTTTAATTTTACAATTTAACTAATTTAGGATTTTTAATTAAAGAAAAAAAAGAAAAAGGAATAAAAAAGGAGTCTTTTAATTGGGCTGCCCCATACCCAAACCAATCCAAACCCCAGCCCAAATCCCTTCTTAACCGACCCAGGCCCAAACCCTCCATATACCCGGTCCAACCCTTCACCCCAAATTTACACCCTGAAACCCCCATAACCTCCTCATTCCAAATCTCCAATCTTTTTCCTTCGAATCCCGGCCAAAGTTCTCGAGTATTGGATCAAAATCACGGCCAAAACCCTAACTTCTCCCAAATACCACAAAATTTACACCAGATACTCCTCATCCCATCCTCTCTCCAAATACCACC